AACCCAGGTACTCTTTCTCATGTCTCTTCTCAAGTTTTATATTCACCTCACTATATCACTGTTGGTAATGGATCTAAGGTTCGCACTACGGCGGTTGGTAACCACACTCTTCCCACCACCCCTCCCCTCTCCCTAAATAATATCCTAATTTCTCCCCATATTACTCATAATCTTATCTCTGTTCGCAAACTCACCCGTGATAATGACTGCACTGTTGAATTTGACGCTCATGGTTTTTCTGTGAAGGATCGTCAGACGGGGACCGTGATGCATCAGTCCAATAATGCAGGTCCTCTCTACCCGGTAGATCATCCAACCTCTGCTCAAGCTCACGTTTCATCCGTAGATCATCAAACCTGGCATCGTCGCCTCGGCCATCCAAGCCCTGCGGTCCTGCGTGGTGTCCCTTCTATTTTTCCTTTATTTAAAAATTATCAACAAACTCTTTGTCATGCATGTCAATTGGGAAAGCATGTGCGCCTCCAATTTTACTCTTCGAGTCGAGTCTCTTATTTTCCTTTTCAACTTTTGCATACAGACTTATGGCAATCACCTGTGCCAAGTGTTACTGGTTTTAAATTTTATATGTTGCTCTTAGATGATTTTTTTCTCATTATTTGTGGGTATTTCCTTTAAGACATAAAAGTGACGCTTTCTCTCACCTAAATTCCTTTGTGGCATATGTGAAAAATCATTTTAATACAACAATAAAATCTGTTCAAAGTGACAATGGAACTGAATACAGAAATGCGCCTCTTAAAAATATTTTTGACTCCTTGGGTATCCTATTCCGTTTTTCTTGTCCCCACACCAGTCAACAAAACGGACGCGCCGAACGTACCATTCGCACTCTTAATAACACCATCCGTTCGCTCCTCTTTCAGGCTCAACTTCCCCCTGATTTCTGGGTGGAAGCCCTCTATATGGCCGCCCACCTCTTCAACATTCTCCCCACCACTGTATTAAACAACCATACTCCTCACTCCGTTCTCTACAATTCTCCCCCACACTACTCTCATCTTCGCGTTTTCGGTTGCCTTTGCTATCCGAATATCTCCGCCACCGCCCCACACAAACTTGCACCGCGCTCCTCCCGTTGTGTCTTCCTCGGCTACCCCTCGAATCAACGTGGCTATCGATGTCTTGACCTTCAAACGAACAAAATCATTATCTCTCGCCACGTTGTTTTCGATGAGCACACTTTTCCATACGCCCACCCTCTCACCCCTCCCGACCTTCAATTTTTGGACACCACTGATGATGGACCCAACCCCCTAACCATCCCACCTCACCCTCTCTACCGCCCCTCGGCCCACCCCACCAACCCAGCAAACCCAACCCTCCCTACGGCCCAACCCTCCCTACGGCCCACCCCCTCCC